GCAATAATTTTTTTTTCATTATATAAATGTATATATATTATATTACATAAATATATACATTATATAATGAAAAAAAAATTGAGAAAAAATAGAAGTTAAAACGTCTACGGAAATGGAAGTCTCGGTTTGTAAGATGAACAGAGATAGAAATAATTAGATTGTTTTTTAAATTAATTGTAAATTAGATAAATTGCAAATAAAAGATAAGTTAGATTATAAGTAGAAAGTATATAAATAAGTATATAACACAAAAGTCTTGTAAACCAATTGAAAAATAAAAAGAATACGTACAAATTATACTACATAAGTATTTATATTATTTTATAAATTAGAGTAAAAGTATATGAGATAAATAATAAGTAATATGTTTCGAGAATTCATTCAATTTTAAGATGAGAACATCTCGATAACGTTAGATTGATTGCACAATTATATCGTATTATTGTAGTGATTGGAATCAATACATCGTTATCGAACTAGTATATTACACTGTAAAATACGTGAACTTATTCTAACTTATTTATCTAAATTCGCAATTTATCTAACATGTAACGTTGCAAAATATTGGTGTTATTTTCCTTTTCATATGACAAATTCAGAGATTATCGAGCTCACAGTCTAAATTTACGATTACCATTGAATAAATCCCTTTGTTAATTGATGCGAAACTGTTCGAAGTTCTTGTCAAAATTCTTCAAACATCGAAAGCTAACTATACGTTTGTAAACATTAAATTTATTTATTGTCAAAGTGATCACTGTGTTCGACTTTCTTTCTATCCAACGTCAGATTTGATAAAGGTATGGCGAAAGTTCGGTAGATTGTTGAAATGGATAACTTAGAGAAGCGATCATGCCTAATGCCGCTGTCGAAACGCGATACGAGTCGCGTACCTCATGAGTTCTCATGTGCTTCTTGAGATGATCCTTGCGTCCAAATCGTTTTTTGCAAAAGACACAAGAGTAAGGCCGAACGCCAGTGTGAATACGTTTGTGTCGCGTCAATTCCTCATTTCTGGTGAACCGTTTCCCGCAGGATTCGACGTCACACTTGAACGGTCTTTCACCTGTAGGAACGAAATCCTATATGTTCTGTCGAAACGATTATTCGTTTTTGCCTAAATTTATTCGGACGATATCCAAAGATTAATTACCAATATTAAATGCAAATTAGGATAATTATGAATATTTGCATACAAATTTATTACACGAAGTAATAACGTAAGCAATCTGAATCAAAATATACATAAGTGGACGTAGAAACTCTTCTTCCGAATGATAAATCTCTCTATGAATATGCAAGTATTTTAAATGAAAGTATTGTCTATGTAGGGATTACAAATATTTTGCAAAATATTTATACATTAAAAAAACGATACAAATATTATAAAGGTTTCCACGATAAATGTCTTTTAGTTTTAACGACAAATAAAGAAAATAATGCTAAAACTTTGCAACAATAAATTAGAAGAATTCTTTAAAAGTTTTCAGTTTTCGTTTTTTATGTATATCTTTTATTTCTTTGGTAATTAGGAAATTCTTTAACACAGTTTGAAATAAAGTAAGATAAAAAGAGTAAAATATAATAAAAGTATAATAAAATAAAGAGAACAACTTGTCAAACTAAATTTAAACGTTCTGTCTTAGCAAAATATTATGAAAAACAAGACTATTGAAAACTACATGAAAAATAAGACTATTTTATAGAAATGTTTAAAAATGTTCTCTAAGAAATGTTTCTTATGTATGATTATTTTTTACTCATACAACATTGTATAAATTTGTAAATTATTTATACTAAAGTTTTTAACTAACCAGTGTGTATACGAATATGTCCGGTAAGCTGGCCGCCGTTACTGAATGCCATACTGCAATGTGGACAGTTGTGTTTCTTTGGGCGCATTTTTTTCATCTCTTTAGCGACAACATCCTGTCGATGCACCATTTGCACTGCTTCTTCCATAGAATGATTATAAAGATTTAGAGGAAGGATTCCAGGATAAAATTCAATCCCAGATTGAAATCCGGAATGTATCCCTGAATAGACACCGGGATGTATCTTGAGAACATCGGGAAGGCGTGATTCTGAGCTCGCAGTCCATGATCCCGCGACATCTGAATTTGCGGTCATCGAATAAGTTCCGATAATCGAAGTAAAATCCTCCGATGGTCGAAGTTCTCTGAGCGCCGAAAGATAGTTCGGCGAAATAGCGTCATTAGAAGCATTGATGTTCGAATCTCGAGTAGAAATCGCGCGCGACATCGGAGTCATTGAATCCAGCGGTTGCTGCGGGTGAAAGACACCTGAATTGTCCTTCGCACTTTGCACGATGCCAGTGGAGGCATCTTCGTCTTTGAGGGATGGAGTATCTCTAGTTGCTACCTTATCGAAGGACTTGCTTCCTTTTATCTGATGAAAACCGATCAATGATGTTGAAGTCGTCGTTTCTTGATCCAACAAATTGCCATCACAGTCATCAGATGTTTCGGTAGTGTTCGTCAAAGTTGTCGATGTCGTTGAGGACACGACTTGTTCATCGTCTTCCTGTCTGCTGCATGGCATACTGTGAAGTGCATTGTCAATCGTGATAGAAATTCCGGAAGTCTCGTTTGTTGTTGTTTCCAGATCGTTCCAAGGTCGAAATAAACCCATAGTCTTCGGTTTGGACATCTTGAGAAAAACTAAAGATGTTAAACACTTTACTTCCTCTGTCACGTAAGATTCCAGTATGTCATATACACGAATGGGACAGTCAACACGACAATAAGAGCTGTTCAAAGGTAACTGAATACAAATCTAAGCTCACCCCGATCTTATACTTACAGAAATATTTTCCCCTGCCTATGGCCTTTTGGGGGTCGAGCCAATCCACTTTAGGGATGGAGGAGGGAGGGATCCGTCCTAAAGCATCGGTTGCAGGAGGATGAAAGCATGGACGCCGTTGGCAGTAAGGCTGTAGGTGGGTTTAGAGGGGCCTGTCGAGGGCTCGATGCGAGATACGCAGCCCCTTTGTAGAGAATTAATCGGTCGCTGCGGCCACGGGGCTCTCGCCCCTTTTGTTACGAGGGAGCACGAGTGCAGGCAGAAGGAGGGGAGGGATATGAAACGATCAGCGTGGAAAGTCAGCACGGTTGAAAAAGCAGAGAAAGATGCAGGACCGATACGAACGAATGATATCGAAGGGTCGCAAGGCCCACCCCGTTCACTCGAGCATGTCGCTTTCTTCAAACTGTTTCGACGAGGCACGCCCGTGACACAAAATTTCACATCGACGCCAATTATTATTGGTTACAGAAGGGTTACAATTCTCGATACTATTTTCATATAAAAAGCGTGGGAGATATTGTTACAGATAAAATGTTTCTTATTTAAATGATGTTAACTCAATTACTATTGTCATTATTTTTAATAATGCATATATATACTATTATTCATTAAGTGATATAATAAATAATTCTAAAAAATAATAAATAAAAAGCCAATATGAGCCGACACTGGTTATTAGTGTGTATTTTAATACAATTTATTCAAAGTGAATATTAAACGTATACGTTTCGAC